CCTGGGAATGTGAATGCCCTGTAGTATTTAGGAAGAAAGGATGTCCAGGTAGGACAATTAATTAGGAAAGCAGGTGTGTACATGGGAGAAACAAATGTAGCTGGAAAACACAAACTAATTTTCTACCTTAAAGTTTCAGCTATTGATATAACCCTGATCATCACCACTTCTATGTATTATCAGATAGTATTAGCTGGTCTAAACCAGATATTTCTGGTAAATGATGCTACCCTTATAGCTTAGAGCACAGCACTAGTGCAACTCAGTGCATTAGTGATCTCTCACCACGAAGCGTGCAAAGGAGAGAAGCAATTTAATCTCGGGTAGCTGAGTCAACTCCACCCACGGGTGTCGTTAGCCCTGCTGGTATGAGTATAGTGCAGCTTATTGACATCAAGGGTGGGGCTTGACAGCCACAGACACGGAGAAGAGCCCGTTCCACGTGAGCAGGCCGCGTGCAGCAGAGCACAGGTATATTATCTGGACTAATGTCTGGCCTAGAAGCAGTCCAGTTTTGGCCACAGGCGCAGTGACACAGCGTGGTATGTGAGCTCTGCTTGCCCAAGATTAGCATGCAGGGCTTTTCATTGCCTTTAAACCTCCAAGCAGAGCCTCCTGCAAAGAATCAAGCCAGCAAGGGTAGGGTAGCTTTAAACGGCATCTGATCTACGAAGGCTTCATCAAGCAGCATCTTTTAGGCAGAAAGGCTGCCCTGCGAAGCCCTAGGAGGGAAACGTGGCTCTTTCTTTGTGCGCAGCCCTGTCTTCTCGCATGTCCACGGATATCTATGGCAACTGTTTGCTCTGAGATAGGTGGGAGTTGTGTTTCAGGTACATGTGAGTCAGCACTCGGGAATTCTCTTGCTGGATTAATATCTCTGACTTAGGTAACCTGTTTTGAACACTTCCAATATCTTAATTGTTTTTTCTTTTCAATGCATTTTTGGATGAATGTAAACAGAGCTTGCATTTCTTCCTTCACAGAAGAAGCATTTGCAATTTGTGTGCATGCCCATCAAGTAGCATTCATGCTGCCAGAAATCTACACACAGGTGGTAGGGATTTGCATTTTCATGCAAGCTGATGACTCCCTTTCTCGGTCAGTTTTGTTTTTTATAGCTCATTGCTTATGAACTACTGTCGCTTCTGAAATTCTGGACTGCCGTTTTCCTGTTGCTCTATTTCTATTCACCTGCCTACTTTTGTTCGTGACATCAGCTGCTGCTACTTCTGTGCTTCAGGAGAAATTGTTCACTTCTGAATCGGTTGCTTTGGTTATAGGCAATGGTTCCTATGTCAAATCCCCAGAGCTGTGAGAGCATCTTCTTTTCTCTCTCTTCTATGGAGCATCCCCCCTTGCTGCTCATATGTAACATGAAAAAGAGAGCATGAGCAAGTGAGCCTGAGGGGCTAATACATTAAGATTAATGGTTTTGATTGGAGATGATTGATTGTTTATTTCTCTGAAGCTATTTATTTTCCCTATGTGCCTTTTACTTCCAAAAAGGATCACAATTTCAAGCTCTGGTCAAGTAACCCTTATTTCACAAGAAATAGATTGGCCGTTTCATTCCGGTTCTTACTGAGCAGCTATTGTGTTACAAAAGACACACCTGGCAACTTGGGGATAATTTTTTCTGCAGTGCCAGCTGCCTCGGGAGTTGCTGAGGAACCTACGCTGCATGAGCAAGGAAAATCAAAGCCGTTAGGTCATCTGCCAGACCAAGTCCTGCCTGTTGCCTGCCTGTGGATAACATTACGGAGATAAAGCTCAACCAACTGTTTCTTTCCTCCTTTCTTATCCTTTTGGATAGGCACTGCTTTCTACTAGGCAACCTCTTCTTTCACACTCCCTCCTCCCTTTGAAATTCTCTTCTTGGAGGCCTAAAGATGGCAGCCTCCTGCCTGCAGACTGCCTGAGGAGAACGGCCCCTACCACCGGAACGGGAGACATACGACAAAGTCCCCTGGTGAGATGCTACCTTGTCGGGCTGCCTGCTGAGGACCCAAGGCAGCTCTGAGCCCTCAGGTAAGTTGCTGTGAGGTTACGATGGTCTTTGCTGTCAGTATAATTACGTGTCAGAAAATCAGCCAGCTTCTGGAAGCTAATATTAGCATCTTAAAAATAGTAATGCGTTAAATGTTAGTTGCTCTCTTACCAGCAAATTGTGGATGTCAAATGTAAATTACTTTGCTACCCAACAGTACTAAAAAAGAAAACATTAAAAATTGATTAATTCTTGGTGCTTCTCCCAATGTGTGCGCACACACATACAAATCCCTCCTATAATTTCTCTATTTTTAACGGCTTGCACAGATGTAACTGAGTGACATGCAAAACTTGTACCAAAGCCATATGAAGTAACACATGTACGCTAGGCTGAGCGTGCCAGATGAAGTTTTTTGGGAGTTATTTATGTCCAATCCAACATAAAAACTATTTTACTATAATTTTTACACCAATATTTCCAAATCACCATCAGGGGCTATCAAGCCATTCTCTATTTTTAACGTAAACTGACCTGTCGTTAAGTCTTGGCCCAGCAGACAGCATCCCTTCGAAGCGAACGGGCAGGCCCGTGCTTTGTTCAGATCCTCCGGCTCCTGAACAGCCGGCGCAGCTCACCACGTTACAAGGCAGCAACCCGCAGCAGCTGGCTGGCGTGAGAAACCAGCTCTCGGGTGAGCCTTGCTTCTGCCATGAGGTGCCCTCGGATACAGCTTCTTCAGTAAAACTGTGTTCACCAATCCCTTGCAAAGGAATGAGTCGCAATTTTTCTTGTAATGATTGTAATGGGATTTTGAATTGCTTGTGTCATGTTAAAGAGGAGACAATGCTAGCATTGTACCAACACCACCATCATGTTTAGCCTGTCTCTCCTTCAAGGAAAAAAATGCTGATAAATGGAGAGAGATTAAAAGGATTTAATTTGGATTTATCATTCTTAATTTTCTAGACTTAAGCCCACCCTTTGAATGGCTCTTTTTGAGGAAGCAATCTGAATCCTTTATTAGTTTAATAGGATTTGGCTAATATTACTGACCTTATCACATCCTCAAGCTGGATTTCCACCAATAGTCTAAACAGATTTGCCTGACGCTAAGGCAAAACCTCTCTGTAAACAGTCGTAGCTGTCTGAGACAAGACTTGCTACCGGTGCTTTCCCTCCATGCGAGTAAGCAATCTCTGATGAAACCCTCTCCTAAGGAGAGGTGAGAAAAGTGTCACTAAGTGCCAGCTGGCTGTTTGGTTTTTCTTTAAAATCGTGTGATTAATTACTTCCAA